ACCAGCACCATCCTCCTCACTGCCTCCCTTGAGGTACTTCTAGACACTGCTCAGGTCCCCTCTCAGCCTTCTCTTCTCCAGGCTGAACAGGCCCAGCTCCCTCAGCCTCTCCTCATAGGGCAGATGTTCCAGGCCCCTGATCATCCTTGTGGCCCTGCGGTGGACTCTCTCCAGCAGCCCCACATCCCTCTTGTACTGTGGAGCCCAGAACTGGACACAATACTGCAGATGATACTCCAGTAGTCTTCATGCCGTGTATTTCTGCCTTCCCCCTGTGAGTTAGGTCAGTATGTGTTCACCTCTGCCAGCTTTACAGTACTGCATTTTGTGCTGTAAACTAGAGAAAGATTAATTTGTTTCTACTGTGGTCAGACCAAATTCAGAATTTGTTCTGAGTATGAAACTGTGAAAAGAGACATCTGTCACTGTAATTTATCCCTGTCATTGCTCTGCTGGCTGTTCATTAGTTTGGCATTTGCAGCTGGTTTTGTGTGATGTGCTAGTGTGACTCCTGACAGCCTGTATGAGCCCAAAGTGCCTTGGACTCAGTCCTTTTGACCAGGAGTGCTATGCACATGCTCTGGCCTTCAGAATCTCTTAGGCAAAACAGACGCAGGAGAACTGTTGTCTCTCCAGCAGTATCGTATGTTGCTTTAGCACAAGCACAGCTCTGCCTCCTTTCTCTGTCCCAGCCCCCTTTGAAGACCTCTACCCTGTTGTCTTCCTTCAGCTAAGCCATCTCCACCTCAAAGTGGGGAATGAAAATCTAAATTAAAATCAAGCAATGCTGAATCCTGTGCGCCAAACTGCAGATATTCACTTGTGATGAAAATACCCAATGGAAGCTGTAAGCATCTTGGCATCCTGATCCTGAAGGTGTAAGGGTAAGAGAAAATACGAATGGGTGCTTCAGGAGCCCCTATTAGCATTAGCCCCCATTTAGAAGCCCCCTGTAGCAAGGGGAAGTGAATCAATAAAGAGGTAGTTGTGATACCCATTTCAGCTCCAGTAGTGAGTGAGCCCAGTCAGGGGACAGGGAAGGAGAAATGAGTCCCAGTGTGTAGTCCAGTGCATATGATAAATGACATAAAGCTGAGTGCCTGTAGCAAAACTGTCAGAAAGAATCCTACAGCAGAGGATTATATGGACTGCCGATGAGGACATGGTGAATCCTGTACCTGAATGGTACTCTCTGTGAAGAAACTGGTGGTGCTGAGTTACATTCGTCAGAGCAGTCTCGGGTAATATATGGGATGAATAACTCAAGTGTTGATGTTATAGGGAAGATGAAGAGTTGACTGAGGCCTGCTAGGATGTTAGCAGTGGGAGCAGTCAGAAAAAATATTGAGAAGGATATGACCTCTCCAGAATCTCAGCCTAAGAAATATGCTTATTATTTTGATTGAATTCCTAACACTTAGAGAAGACCAAAATGAAGCAGTATAGCTAGAGAGGAAAGCAGGCCATTTTCCTGGAGGTATCTTAGGTCCGAAGTGCATTCTGCTCCTTGCTTTGCTAGACCCTGCATTTAGTGACGGGCAAATATGAGTAAATGTGGTATAGCTGCCAGTTCTGCACAGCGCTGTCAGCTGCGCCCTCCGCAGTGGAGTTGCATGCAAGCCTTGCACACCGTTGTCATAGGACCTGGAGACTAAGAAACGCTGGCGTGCATTTCCAGAAAGCATCGATGCGCCACACGCGGAGCCGTTTCGATTACTGACAGCACATTGATCTGATTCTGATCATCCTGCTTATGCTGCCTTCTGCCTTATGAAGAAGATGCGTCAAATGAGAAACTGTTCAGCTTAAGTGAAGCCAGCCAGCTGTGATTCTCTGAGATCCGTATAGAATAGCATGGGATCTAAGCAGGAGCAGGAGTCAAGGTTTGTTTTCCATGGAGTGCTTGTCCTTTCTCTAAATCTTTTCATTTTCTTTTTAATCTCATTTGCCATTCACCTATTTTTGCAGTTCAGTTTTCCAGCTCTCTCATTTCCAGCTCTCCTGGTCATTTTCATTTGTTCTTTACCTAGTTCTTTTGATGGAGGAGAAGTTGTTGTTTTTTTTGCGCAGTGAAGTGTTCCCATACTACTAGAAAAGGAATCAAATTGATTCCTACTCTTTCCTTAATAATTGATCTTTATGCAACTAGGAAGAAATGCACCATTTCCTAGTGCTGGTTGGCCTAAGACATTCCCAGAGAAAGATGAGTTTCCTCCATTATTCCATGACATATGGCAGTTCACAATTTCCAGACTGAGAACACTGGCTTTATACTTTCTGGATGAAAACTGGTATGCTCTCTTTCTTTGTAGAGAGGCAGATTGCACATCGTCAGCTGGCACAGGTTAGTACAGCTTCCTTGCTCTCAGGGAACAGCAGTGCCATGAAGATGTGTCCATTAAAGTCACTTAGTTTATCACATTAATCATTTTAGTATCTATTGTTCGGATACAAAGCCGTGAAACACTTTTTCTTTCTCTCTTTGTTTTTTCAATAAATAGCTAGAACAAAATATTGAGACAGTTACTGCCCATGTCAGTCATCACAGTTCTGATTCCTACTACTGCTTGATCCAGGCACTTTCCTGAAAGTGACATTAGAGCCCACACAAACACATTAGGAGTGGAAAACTTGTGACTGATGAGGTTTGACTATAAAATAGGAGAAATATAGGACAGCTATGACCTCATTCCAGTAATAAAAGTATTTTTATTTGTCATGAAAATAAAATGCAGGTGGCCAAGCAGTTTAGTGAGAATCTGTTGCTGGAGTGGGGAGAGAACAGTCGTGAAATAAACTGGGCCAAAATACAGTTCTGATGAGCTCTGCTGTTGTGAACGTGTTGCTTAAAAATTTTTCCAGTCGAAAGTTTGTGTTTATGTAACCTGTGAAACACACTGGGGAATGCACTTTTGTAACAGAGATAGCAAAAGAAAAAATGTGCAGGCTTTTAAAAGCTAATGCAAGCTCCAAAGAGTGTAAAAATGTCTTTTGGGAAGGGTAGGAAAAGATGAGAACTTGTAAGAATCACTTCTGTCACTTGGAGCATTCAGCCAAGGGAGTTTAGTGTGCCATGTAGTTACAGATGATTGATTGAAAATAGATGGATTCTGAGAAGCTATCGCTATTCAGAGTAGCAAGCGGAAATTATCAACAGCCTCTTTGGAGCCCAAGGTTAATGCTCCTACCTGAAGAACGGTGAGGGCCAACTGGAACATGTGTGTGCTCTCATTATAGAAATATGCCGCTTAACTCCTACTATACGACCTGTACTAATATATGGGAAGAGCTGGGGAGGCTCTTCCCCAGCATGTTCCTTTGGGTAACTCCGTGGCCAGAAGTAGGCTGTGTAACTGCCCAGCAGCCTCCTGGTGTCCAGCCTCGCCCTGCTGCACTGAACAGGCCTCAGTCCTCCCCAGGTCTTCTGTCTTTGACTGGCTCCTACTGAACCCTCAGGGATCTACCCGCTCTTGCTCAATGTATTCTAGAAAAATGCTTGATTCTTAAGTTTGAGAGCATTTTACTATTACTATTGTTATTTTGAGGTTACCATTCCAGTCTGATCTAGCCTGCGTAGTTGCTATACATATTTAGTTTGCTCATTCTTGGTCCCTTTCTGCTGAGAAAGGGTGAAGAAGGGGCACATTGACTCTGGCAGGTGATTTTTGGGGCAGCAGCATGAGATGACCAGTTCTTCTCCAACTCTCCCTCCTGGCCTCCCTCTCTCCCCTGTTCCCTTCTCTGCTGTAGTTGGAAGCCTTGATGCCTGCCTACCTTGGAAAATAGAGGCAGGCAACTAAAGGCTGTTATCTCAAAGCTGTCTGTGCAAAAGCAGAACTGAATGCGGCCTAGAGAAATCTCGAGTGGCTCTGCTTGTCTCGCTCACGTTGGATTTCAGCACAGCGTGTGCTGGACCCGCCAAGCAGATTTGTCTCAGGGCAAACTAAGTTTCTGCAGCCGTTTTTAGGCCTTAAACTCCTGGTGTCTCACTGGGTACGATAGCAACATTTAAGAGTGATTTACTGAAAGAGCTGAGCTCCCATCTCTTAGGCATCCCCACTTAGAGGCGTTCCTGGATATACTTCTGGCATTTGACTTGCTTGCCTCAGTTTCTCCTACTGCTTAAGTTCACTCACATCTGCAAACTGCAGTGCTAACGTTGATAATCTTTATCAAACCCGAACGTGACTAACCCAGCAAGGGGAGACTGGAGCGGCCTCCCGGAGCGCTGTCCATCCAAGGGCATGCTGCAGTGTTGTTTCACAGAACGATGCCGCTGTGTTGAGGATGTGAATGATTTCCCAGACCCTCTCTATGCTCTCAGTAGACCCACCTTGCACTTTGACAGCTTAAAACGTCTGGCAGAGATTGCACAGCAGAGATTTATGTAGGGAGGCCGCATAGGAAATCTTCAGAAAGACCGGATAAAAGAGCAAGCACATCTTCCCATGCCTTGGGAGAACAGCGGGTAAGGTATATTAAGGGTTATACATATCACAAACCCGTTTATAGGTTATTCTAATGTATTCTGCAAGAGCTTCCCTCTCTCTTTAAAGAGGAGAAGCAGCTCCTGCCACACAACTTCTATTGTGTTCTGCAGCCTGCTGCACAGAGGGGCAAGCCCTGCTGACCTGGGTAGCAGGGGTATTTGGCAAACCTTGGAAAGAGAGTGTTCAGTCATTTGAGGACTGCTCTGCTTGCACAGTGCTGAAGAGTTAATTCAGAGCAGCCTCCACATCTTTGTGAATGGGTGGGCAGATCAATGAGATGCTTGTTTACATTAGCATACGCTGATTAGCACTTACTTTTTGTGCTCAGTTTGCCTCTCAGTTGCTTCATCTTCTAATCTTAATTCCAAAACCCTTCATGAGTACGCTGAAGGATCTGAAGTTTTTGTGTAGTTATAACTTTTGATTTTGATGGGCATTTCAGTTCTGGCATGACTTAAATTGTTTTTTCTTTTTTTTTTTCTTTCTTTCTTTTTTTTTTTTTTTTTTTAGCATCATAGACAGAGAAGTGTCATTAATGGCAGAACTTGATAAAGTTAAAGAAGAAGCCAGTAAGTAAAAAAAAAAACATGCCAGAGAACTTTTGGAGTAGTTGGGGGAATGTTTGTTTTGTTTAGCAGAAAAAATGACATGGTACATCAATTCAGTTAGCAGCATTCCAGCATCTTTCATTATATGCACAGTCTTTGATGTTCTAAGATAGTTTCTGAATAGTTTCTAGCTTTTAAGGAATGTGCATCGTGTGGTATTCATGGCCCAGTAGTTAAGGGAATGTGTTTCAGCAGAGAAAGCTGAGCAAGAAACTGAAGAATTATCCAAGTCTCATTAGAGTGATATTTTGCCTGACAGATCAAAACATCACTGCCACATTTGTGTACAATCCTTTTTTGATTTGTGAACTTGAGATCCTTTCAAGAAGGATCACAAATACGCATGACGTTCTTCAGTGCTTCATTTGTATTTTGAACTCTCACTTAGTTCCAGTTAAATTTAACTGAATTAAAAGCCAGCTAGCTCACTTGCAGTTATGTACATGTGGAGACTAAAAGGAGTTTTTCCAGCAGAGATTGGCTTTAGCTTAGTTTTGGAATTCTCTCAGGTAACTTTTTGAATCCTGACATGAAATACCTGTGGATTTGGAGTTCAGGGTTGTTCTGGGGAGGAGCTGTGGATAGAAATATGTCAGCAGCTTTTTGGTTAGCTGCAGAGACTTCTATGATTAGCAATAGGACAGGTACTCACTCCCAGGGAAAATGGTAGTAAAATTCCCATTGATGTCAGCACGCCTGGATCCAGCCAAACCGCATAAACAAAATTGTATTTTGGAAATCCACAGTCCAGGGCAGACAGTATCACAGAGCCCTTGATTTAGTCTTGACAGGGCCAGTAGTCATTTTTGTGGGAAGTAAAGCTAATTCCTGTCTAGTGGCATACAAACTGCCATATGATGTGTTCTTATTCCCTACTTTAATGCTCACTGCACATGTAACATTAGATGGTACCTGTTTTTACAGTGTCGTTTCTTCCGTCTCTCGGGGCTTTTGCAAGCCTGCAAAGTGCTTAGGCAGAAAGTTTTTATAGGACTATGATATGCTAACCAAGATTTACATTATTATTTATTTTCGCATCTTTTTGCTGCAATGGAGGACTGTTTTACAGTGGGTAATCTTACTCTTACTGTCGATACTGGGACAATTTCCAAATATGAACACCTCAGTTTATTGTACAAATGAGTATTTGGCTGGCATCTCGTGCTGAGACAAATGCCAGTATGAGATGAGCTCATATGGTTTGGGTAGTCGCTTCAGTGCTGGGTGGTGCTGGCCTTGGAGAGAAAATATTAGTATCCCCTAGAATACACAGCAAAGTCGAGCTACTGACAAAAGGAAAATAGCTAATGAATTGTTAATTTAATCTGATAAAGTTCCACAGACTTGTAAACCATATTCCTCAAAGATGAAATGAGAAGATCATCTGGAGGGCTAGATAAAAGCTGGTTCTGTGGCATAAAAACGTCAGGTGCAGGTTTAAGAACAGGACTGAGAAACCTGCCTTCCTCTGGCTCATCCCTGCTGTGTGTGGCACACACTCCTATGTTACATGACATGTTTGCTCCCACAAGGCAGCAGAACAGACACAGCCCTCTGTACCATGTGCCTGCTGGATTATGCTGCACTTCTGAAAGGACCAACAAACTCTCTGTGAAATCCCATTAATCTTCACCTAAACAGAAATGGCATGACAAAGCATGAACTGGATCAGCGACTTGCCAGGACTACAAATTATGGCAAAAGAAGGCAAAGAAGCCAGAGGAAGCTACTGAGGAATCTGTGGCTTTGTGACAAATTACAACTGCCACCTAGTTACTCTGGCTGTAGAAAGCTCTAGAAAAAGGACATGAATGCAATTATTTTACATTTAGATACTATTTTTCCTCTCTGCCTTAAGTGGTGATCCTACCAGCCAACAAATCAGGTGTTACCTTTTTATGGAGACATCGTATAGGTAACAGTGTGTGCATATATTTAATATTTGTAATGTCACATTATCACAAATGTGAATGGACTGTTGCTTTGTGGTTTATCGTTAATCTTTTTCTATAAGCAAAATAAAAATGTTCACCATCTCCTTGCACTGAGTGGAATGTACAGTAGTGCATAATTAATATTTATTTCAAAAAGACTGTTGGCCCTTGTAAGACTACTTTGCCTTACAAAGGTAAATATGTTTGTTCTGTACTTGACAGCAAAATTGTAATGCTGAGGATTTAAATATATGAACTATATAGGAACAGATTTTTTAAGAGAGAGTAAAATATTCATGTGTAAATAAAATACAGGCTGCCTTCCAAAACAGGGCTGCTGGCACAAAGTACTGCTTCTTTCCATGTCATAGTGGAATGCTCCCTGATCTTGTGCTTAAAAATAAAGCCCTGGAAAACTTGCAACAAAATCCTCTGGCCTGGCTGTGTGAATGCTGAAGGATTGGTTCCAATCCTTCCAGAATGGGGTTTGGCATCCCATTTCTCATCACTAGGCCGTTCAGTTAAATTCACTGATTGACTTACTGCAAGCAGCAACATGTCCCATTCAGCTGAAGTGGGGAGTGCAGCGTGTGCGTTTGCCTTGCTTGTGATGTCCAGTGTTAATACCCAGAGTCATGAATTAGAGTATCTGCCTTCCTAATATTAATTATTGACTATTGCTATTTGGCAGTGGAAATCCTGACTGCTCGGCAGAAGAAAGCTGAGGAGCTGAAGAGACTGACAGACCTAGCCAGTCAGATGAGTGAGGCACAACTGTCCGAACTCAGGGCTGAAATTAAGGTCAGACATTCGTTTCTGCTTGGGTACATTGGCTGTTCACACAGATACCGAGAAAAGGCTGTCCCATTTACATGCTCCTGGCTGCTCTGCTGTGGGCCAAAGTGCAACAAGCTTTCCGTGGAGAAGACATGCTCTCTTAAACCATTATAGCACCTCTGAGCAGTGTACAGACACTATCATAAATGTGTGTAAGCTGTCCTCCCATGAGCAGAACACAGTCCTGCTATCTGTGCATCATTCATCAGGCCCAGCTACCAAGTAAACCTTATAGCTTCAGGTTTAGTGGTCTAACACACGCACGCCAATGGAATGATGCTTCCTGAGCATGGGCTTGTCTGGACATGTCGTCTGGTAAGGATGGGGAAATACTTGATTCTTCACAGAGATCTTGCATGCAGGACAGTGTTGCAAATTGCTGAGGCTTTAAGTGAACTTAATATATGTATTAATAGATTTCTGTACAATCCATATCATCTTTGGGGTAGCTCAGAATGTAAATCATTGTTAATTTGTCTGTATTTTTACAGCACTTTGTAAGTGAACGAAAATATGATGAAGAGTTGGGCAGATCTGCCCGATTTTCCTACGATACGGAGCAGTTGATGAACCAAATTCAGCTGTGTGGAGAGAGTAAGTGCTGATGATTTCTCATACTGCAGCTATAGCAGCATAGTGTGCCCACATACATGTACAAGAAATCCCAGGCAGAAGTAAGGATGTGTGTCTTATCTGTGTATGTATGCACCAAGTCTGATGTGAATGACATGTCTGGATCCAACTGATTTGCTGCGCGTGACCAAGTTTACTGTATGCAAAATATTGTCTCTGCACATGTGCTGCACAGTCCTTCTGTGTGTGCACAGTGCCCTCTTTGTCTGCAATTTCAAGGTATTACTCTGGTCAGTTGGAGTTTTCCATCTAGACAAGATTTCCAAGTGGAAATAGAAGCCACCCCTGAGGAACTCTTCAATTTGGTAGTTATTTATGAGTAACTAGTAAATTGGAAGTTCTCTGTGTGAGTATGATGTCATGAGACCAATTTGGACCTCTCCTACTGGAAGGAAGTCCCCAACTTTATAGCGATGTTCACTTGCTTTTAAAGGAGCTAACCACAGCCCTAGATGTTCATGTTTCCAAACTGTCTGCCATTCTGCAGAATGTGAATGAAAATTCACATTCTTTTTCTGCCCCGACTACCATGTTTCTAATGCAAAATGTGACCTCACCTATTTCTTGTCTTTGACTTCCTTCCAGAAGCAAATGCCTTAATGTTTTGCCCTGAATACCCCCCACTCCACATGATACACCATCAACATCAGCACTCAAGAGAAAAAACATTAACACAATACTGAACTAGTGTGTCTTCATGGAAAGAAAACAATTTCAGGGAGAAAAAAAGAATTAACCTTTCCAAGGAGTTGTTATAAATAGCAGGGAAAAAATATCACACAGTCTGCCAAAAACAATCTTGTGATTACATAGCTGAAGAACTGGCTTGTTTGAGGCATAACCAGCTAATTAGAACACAAGAACTGCTATTGCAGAAGGCTTTGAAGATCCATCTAATCTGCTGTCCTGTCCCACCCCAGGATGTTTCAAAGGAAGGCATAAACTTCCCAATAACACATCTGAGCGTTCGAAGTGACTTCATAGTCCCAATTTGATACCTTGAACCTTGAGAGATTGAAAATTCTGTTAAGGTTATTTTGAATAATATAATCACAGCTGCTATTGATACAAACATAGAATATTTTTTTAACTTACTGAACTACTTTCCTAAATAACTTCCAGCTGCTGGGAATTCTTTAGGCTAATTATTTATACCTCTTTTCAGCAAAGCATTCAGCATATATATAAATGTCAACCTGTTAAATCAGGTCACTGAAGTCAAAGATCGAGCTATTAGCCAAGAATCAAAGCCATCTTCCAATTGCCCGGTGGTGCGCTAGGAGTCCAGATAAGTTGGTTCTCATCTGAGCTAAAATAAGTGGTTAACATGTCTGTTGTGGGAGCTCTTCATGGCAAAAGGTGTTTTTGTTTGGAGCATTTCACGATGAGACTTACACTCTGCTAGGAGTTCCAGTTGCCCCTTGCACAGAGATTATACCAGATCCATAGCTAAGCACAGCTGTTGGTGAGGGCTTTAGCAAAAGCAATAACCAAAATCATGAGGAGTCTGCGAAGGAAGACACGGTCTCCCCGGAGAGGACAGTAGGCAGCACAGAATCTCAGGGGAAGAAGGAGAAACAAAAGTAATTGGACTGACATATCCAGAATGCCCAATGATGGGTTGTTTCTTTCCTGCCAAGAATATGTTGTTATGAGAAGCAGCTGGATGTTCTATCTAGCAATGGATGACTTCCATTGAGGTGGCCTGGCTTAGGGAAAAGAGAGCAGTAGAATACAGCAGCAGCCAAACCCTCATCTGCCTCTTGCCCTGAACAGAAAACTCAGTCCATTGTGCATTTCAGCATTAGGGATGGCTGCATAAATTTTGTTAAGAGGACACCTAGTGGGAGAAGTAACATCAGTTAGCATAAGTGATTAAAAGCCTCAAAAAAAAAATAACAGATGATGCTCAGTTCCTATAATCTACATATAACCTGTACAATCTACATAATCTTTTTTTGATCCTTAAAGTGGAAAAATGGAAGTTCCTCTTGCCATTAGGATGTAATATTACATAAAACAACAGGTGTCTCACTACGAATGTGCTCACTGAAGTGAGACTCTGGTTTGTATCACGTGTGCGAGAGGAGAATAGGGAAATTCCATAATCAGAGGAATCCAAACAGCAAATCAAGATGAAGAGCTTTACTTCAACAGGCTCATAATCCTTTCTGAGACTGCTCAGGGCCACCACAGAGGAGCAGACAGCTTGAAGATCTTGTGGAAATGCAGCGAGATAGGAATCAAGAATTTGTTTAGCATACTTCACATCCAGACATGAAAGTGATTAAGAAAACAGCTGGCCTAGAGATACTAAGAGAGTAAGGAGCAGGACTAACACTCAGACGCTAAAATGAGCCATCGTGATTCATGATAGTGCTGCATGTGCTGTGGCTTACATGAGGTGGACTGGCACGGTGCAGTCGGTTCTAGGTCAGTAGATATCCCATGCTACAGAAGAATCTTTATTAGCCATCTGCTTGGAGAAGAATGAGCAACAGATACTATGCTTTTTTCTTCTTCTTCCTAAACAATGTTTAGTAACAATGAGGAAATCTACTACCTCAGTTGTAGCCAGTGCATATGTAGACTGCAAACTGCAGCCTCTGCAGTTTTCTATGATCAAAGAATGATTTGAGATCAAATTAAGTCCATAAAGACAAGGGCATGCATAACTTCTTTTGACCTCCAGTAGCAGAGGGAGTTGCTAGGCATCCCACTCATCTTCCTTTCCATGTTTCTTTCTTTTTTGCCTAAGCATTCCTATTCTAACCATTCTGACAGGACAACAGTGAGGGGTGGTCCTAACAAAACTTTATTCATTGCAGCTGGTTAAAAGTCCACAGGCAAAAGCAATAGGTGCCAGGAATAAAAGGTCAATATTTTAAGAGTTTTTGGGATCACTTTCATACTCTCCACTGACAACAAAACTCTCTGGAATACTGCTGCAAATCATATTTGAGCATATTTTGAAAATGCCTGGTAAGACAGGCACACATCCATTGTAACTGTTGGCATTACAGGCTTCAAGATAATGCTGACCTTTGCACAACAGATTATTTATTCTTAAACAATATTAAACTAGCTTATGTATGGATATTGACCATTTAACTGATAATTCTTTTTTTTTTTGCAGTTTCTCGCCCAAAGAACAATTATTCTGCAAGAACACCATGTAATTCAGTGCTCTCTTCAATGACTTCACAAGTAACAACTGGCAAGCAAAATACGCACACACGAAAATCTTCTAGTAATGCCAAAAACTTTGATAATAAAACAGCCAGCACTAAAGTACAAGGTCATCTTTCTTCCAATCCTGCAGAATCCTCTCCCCAAAGAATCCCAACAAATAAGCAGGTAAGAAACCAATTACCAACAAAAATAAAGGAATTCAACATTTTCAGAAAGTATGCATTACTGAAAGTGATTAATACCAAATCAAATAGTGGTTTGCAGCTCATATACTTAATTGACAATTTCCTAAATGTGGAAAAATATCCAAATATATCTTTTCTGTCTTCATTTTCATGACAGTGTGAACATGAGATATGAATATCAGAAATGCTATACCACTGTCTAGACTCCGAAAGTGACCAGCATCAGTCAATAGATTGACAAAAAAAACCTCCTCAATACCTAGTTGTCCTGTGTATCGTGATGCGGAAACATTTATTCCTGATTCTTGACAAGTGATCAACTGATGTTCTGAAGCCCTTGAAAGGGGAGTCCGCCAGGTTTAAAAATGTACTTCAGAAATTGTGTAATACAGTTTGTAGTATTGAGCCAGATTATCAGCTGTTTCATTTGAAGAACACCTTAGAACGTCCTTGTCCTATAATGCCTACTTAGGCAGAGCTACCACTGAAAGTGGTCTACATTTTGTCCCAGTAGAGCTTTGGGCTCAAATAGGTTCCTGAAGGGACACACAGGAGTGTTACACGATGGCAGTGTGTGTATGGGGTCAGCTATCACGGCAAGTCAGTCAAATAAAGCAATACAGTCCCTGCTGCTGATCAAAGCTTTCTCTAAGCAGCATAACACAATTGACACCTCTCCTGCCATTTGGATTCTTAACTTGACTCTCATTTCCACGGGTATTTCTTTCATATCGTCTCCTACTCCATACTACATCTTTAATATATTACTTTAACATACAAGGTATTTTCTTAATTTGGGGGAAAAGTCAGTCTGGATCAAATTCTTCTTTACTTCCTATCTGTTGCTCTTGAGGTGTCTAGTATTTCATCCCCTTTTCTCCTTTTCTTGTATCATGTCAGATTTGAATTTGGCATCAGCGATGAACCTGTTCATTGATTTCAAAGCTATTCAAATACAGCAGTGTACTGATAGTTCATTTATTTAAGTGTCATTAATAGAGAACTCTAGCACCAATCAGAACTGTATAGTCTCTTCCCTCTCTAGCTACACTGAGAATTTTATTCTGCGATTTTTATTAATTCTGATTTACTTTATTTCTTATTCTGCTTGAAAGATTCAGATTGCCTAACAGTTATCTGATTTCTTTCTGGGTAGAATGCGCCTTCTAGCCAGAGACGAAGATTCAACGCTCAGCATCAGAGCACCCGGCTCAATGGATCTCTTAAGTCACAAGGCACCAATAATGAGGCTGATCAAAGTAATATAAAGAGTGGTTCCAGGTCGGAACACAGAAGACAACAGCATAACAGCTTCAGACATAAAAACAAAGGAGCTATGAAAAATCAAGATCAGTCCACAACTACAAGGACCACAGAAAATCTGACGCATTCAGAAAAAAACAGACGGAAGCAGCATCCAGCAGACGCCGCGGATCACCGGCCTTTCCGAGGCAGCGTGGGCAGGGTGTCCCAATGCAATTTATGCCCTGCAAGGATGGAGGGCTCTGCTGATGCCACTGTTCTTTCAGTGCCAGCTGTGACTCTGGTGGCTTAAAATGTCACAGTGAAGGCAGGCAGAGAAATCTATTCTCTTTGTTTTAGTTTACTGCTGGAGATGCTTGTTGAAATGGTGAAGAAAATAATTCAGAACACACAGTCATTTTAAATCTGTTGCTACTTAAAACTTGTTGATATCTTTATTGCTTACTAATTATCAGCATTAATCCATACTTTCAAGGCTTTGCCCAATATGCTCAGTTATCCTGTCATGGCAGTACTGAATCTTACCAAGGCAGCATTTACTTCTTAGAAGAATGAGATCTTGACTGAAAAAATAAATTGGAGATTGAATTCACAATAGCAAAAGACCTGTTGTAGATATGTGGTTATATCAGTCAACATTACTACTATTTAGAGCAGCCAGTGCTAAGAAAGATCCCAAGACGTTTGTACACTCTGGTCTGCAATTAAATTCAGTAATCTTGTAGATTTTTTCTGAAAAAAATCTATACACCTTTCTCTCTGTGTTTGTATATGTGTGTGTTTATATACACATGCATACATACACATACATGCATGCACACTGTATACACACAGAGTATTGTTATATGCAAGAAAATTTGAAAAAGTAGTACATTTGATTTTTTGCTTGTTATTCCATAATCTGAGATCTTTAAATTCCAAGTATAAATCTATTAAATATACTACCTATTGGTATTTTTCATTGACAAACTATTTTTATGAGGCTGAGAAAAATGCTCATTTCTTAAGTTTTGAATGTATATAGTCATGGCTATTCAGATGCACAGCCCTATTCTCCATCCTTACTGGTCACTTTTCTTTGACTTTTTGGATTTTTTTTTTTTTTTTGCACATGAGAAGTTGCAGGTGTTCTAAACTTGAATCCGAATTATTTTTCTATATTTTTGCTGTTGGAACCATCTGTCCTATATAAGAGCTATGACTAATATAATTTGTTACAGCAATTCAGCAAAGCGTGAACATACATGTTTGAGAAGATGCCACATCCTTATGAGTTTTCTATTAAAATAAAAAAGTTAGTGTTGATGTCTGATTCTGTATTTCGGAAAACTTTTTTCTTCCAAGAAATTAAAATCTTCTTTCTAAAATATTATGGTGTTTGCTGCTTTGCAGTACCACTTGTGATCTTATTCAGTCTATATTCACTTAATTCAATGGATGTCAGGGGGTGGCTTTCT